AGCAGCCCCTCGCAGAAATGTGAGCGGTCGTACTCTGCCGAATAAACGGGACGTACATCGTCCAAAAAAGCCAGGAGCGAATTTTGCCGCGCGGATGCGCGCATTCGAGTCGCAAAATGCGCGTGTGTAAGTGTATATAAATTTTCGTGGAGAAAGGACGAGGTGCGCCAGCGCGTTGCGCAGGTGGGCATGTTGGCCACAGCCGCACGCGGCATGCAGGCTGGACTATTGCGTGGCTGCTTTGCAGTAACTGAAAGCACCGAAAGCCAACGTCGTAGCTTGCAACTCTGGGCTCGTGAAACTGCCGCGGGAAGAGGAAGCGTCTGGCGAAGAGGCAGTTGTGTGCAAGCAAACGGTCGCGTTTTTGGTAGTGCAACGTATACAGCACCTTGTTCAGAGTAAAGTCAAATTACAAAGTTGCGCAAAGTATAACATACATAAACTTAATTAAACATAAGAACAGATAAGACGTTTAGAGCCTTGTCGGTGACATGGACGCCGCTGTTGGCTTAGAACAGCTATTTGCTGTGCATAGGGACGTGCCCGCGTTAGCCGTGTTGCAACAGCTCAGGATGGATTTCAGACAGCAACAGCCTCAAGAGCTGCTGCACAACCACCGGAGATGTCTTCAGTTGGGCACGTGTAGTTTTGGTCGGCGGGGTCGAGCATCGTACGCATTGCGCACAGAAACCAAGGTGCAGCGTCTCTGTAACATCGCCAACATATCCGGTACGCGGTGGCAGGCTTGCCGAGCACGAAATGAAGGGGGGGTCGCATCTCACCATCAACTAAGCATGCATGTGCTCGGTTGAATGCTCGGTAGCGTGCGAGTTTACCCCTATCAGGATGTTTGTTTGCATATCCCTCCAAGCGAGAGGGCTTGGACCTATGCTGATGTTCGTTCCAAAAAGTAAGCTGAGCACTGATGCTACGGTGAAAGGTATGCACGTAAATTCGCCCGTGCGCCAAACGCCCTGTAACCAGCTTAGACTAATCTCACATTCCATTATGCCACTGCACTTTCCTCTCCAGCCTGGCCCCATTCTGTTGCTCGCAAACGTACTTGGGCACCTTACAATCCAACACCATACGGGCTTTAGAAACGCGGGCAGCTGCTTCACAAGGACCCCCCTATTTTTGGGATATTCTGTGTTACAATAAATATTGGCCCAAATGTGTGAAACGTTTAACGTTTACGTTTACAAGCTTCAAGCTTGTACGGTCCAGACGAGCCAAAAGGCTCATGAACCGCCAAACTGGAAACAGGAACTCAAAAAAAGAAATAATGCTAATACCCAACAATATCGGATTGATTAATCTTCAACGTACTGCAACCTGCATTTTCTAATGTCGTCCAAGACGCGCGCTAACCCGCGTTGATCCTTGACGCCCATAATCTCGATCATGCGGTTCCCAGGAGTAACCCCCAGGTCCCAAAGCTTCAAACGGATATTCGCATACGCAGGGCAATCTAGCAGCACATGACATATATCCTTGATATTATTACTTGTGGCGCGTAGGCGGAACAACTCCTGACGTACTATCGCACAGCTGAGTGGCGTAACCATACAATTCGAATTCTTCGTTGCCACTCCTGCCACTCGCGCACATCATCAGCAGTGAGGCTGTAACCAATTTAAAACTCACCATCATCTCGCGGGACGAGGCAGACGGGATCTAGCGATGGAAACGTACCCTAGAGTTCAGGGGCAGTTTACAGTTGTACGAACGTACGTACGAACTTTCACCCTAACATTCGTCCCAGACTCGTGGTAAAGATGGTAAAGCCAGAACCACGACACGTCTTCTGATTAGGTGTCTTTATTAATCCAACATGTTAATTATTGGCAACCCAAAGAAAAATAAGGTCAGTCCGGCTCCCGTGTCGTCTGCTCATCCGCGCGCTCTCCGTTTTAGAAATCTGCGTGCCTGCTGCGACCATACATGCCGGATTTATCTTTGAGGCAAGTATTTGCATGGTTGTACGCAAGGCTCTCTGTTGTTCCGTATGTCTCTGTTCTCTGAAATAAGCCCCACATATGGCGTAAAGGGTGGAAAAGGTGGGTTTCGGG